GTGGTTGTGTACACCTGTAGTCCCAGCTACTTGGGGACTGAGGCAGGAGAATTGCTTGAACCCGGGAGGCAGAGATTGCAATGAGCTAATGCCACTGCACTCCAGCCTGCATGATAGAGTGAGACTCTGTCTCAATAAATAAACAAACAAAAATTAGCTGGGCGTGGTTGTGGGTGCCTGTAATCCCAGCCACTTGGGAGGCTGAGGCATGAGAATCGCTTGGGCCTGGGAGGCAGAGGTTGCAGTGAGCCAGGATCACATTGCTGCACTCCAGCCTCGGTGACAGACTGAGACTCTGTCTCAAAAATAATAATAATCACAGACAATTGATGTCCAGTGATGTGGAAATGGTTAAATGAATGATAGTACATCCATGCTAGATATTAAGATATAACGCAGCCATAAATGTCTGACCAAAAAAAGACAGGGTCTCACTCTGTTGTCCAGACTGGAGTACAGTGGATCACAGCCCACTGCAGCCTCAAACTCCTGGGCTCAAGCAGTCCTCCTGCCTTAACCTTCCTAGCAATGGCAATCTCATATTTTTTTCATAACATAGATTGCTTAAGAAATAGTGTGACGTAGGATAGGCGTGGTGGCTCATGCCTGTAATTCCAAGTACTTTGGGAGGCTAAGGCAGGAGGATCATTTGAGGCCAGGAATTTGAGACCTCATTTACACCAAAAAAAAAAAAAAAAAAAAAGCAGGTGTGGCGTGTGCCTGTAGTCCTAGCTACTTGGAAGGCTGGGGCAGGAAGATTCCTCGTGTCTGGGAGCTTGAGTTTGCAGTGAACTATGATCATACCACTGCAATCCAGCCTGAGATCCTATCTCTGGGGGAAAAAAAAGAAAAAAGAAAAGAAAAAATAATGTGAAGAAAAAAAGAACCAGTAACAAAAATTAAAAAGCAAATCCAGTAGTACATACTTTTAGCAGCCAGGTACTCTTCAGGTGCTTTGCATACTAATCGTCACAACAAACTTGTGAGATAGGCCCTATTTATTGTCTGTTTTATAGATGAGGAAAATGGAGCAGGAGCACAGCTATCTGAGGCTGCACAGCTCATTGGAGCCATTTATGTGATTGGAGCCCAGCACTTTGGCTTCAGAGTCCTTGTTCCTGACCGTAACACTCTAGCAGAGCTGGTCAGGATTCAGAGCACCTGAAAGCATGATCCAATTTTAGTTATCTCAAGATTGTTTCTTTTTCAAGTATATGCAAAAAAGGCAATTGTGCTAGGGTATTGAGAGTGGTCTTCTCTGGTTTACAAAATTATGGGTACTTATTACTTTTATAAGAGAAAAAATATAAAGGATTTTAAAGTGTGGACTAGAAAAGAGTAAGAAAATAAACTGAAAAATAAAAGTGTGATTGTATTGAGATTGTTTTTTCTTATTTTAAAAAATATTTTCTGGCTGGGGGTGGTGGCTCACGCCTATAATCCCAGCACTTTGGGAGGCCGAGGTGGACAAATCACGAGGTCAGGAGATCGAGACCATCCTGGCTAACATGGTGAAACCCCATTTCTACTAAAAATACAAAAAATTAGCCAGGAGTGGTGACGAGCGCCTGCAGTCCCAGCTACTCGGGAGGCTGAGGCAGGAGAATGACATGAACCCGGGAGGCCACTGCACTCCAGCCTGGGC